AGCACTCCACTGGACGGATGGGGGCTCCCAGGCTGAGTGGGGGGATCCTCCCTACAAGTCAGCACTCCACTGGACGGATGGGGGCTCCCAGGCTGTGGGGGACCTGCCGTGTGATCTCAGCACTTCTGGACGGATGGGGGCTCCCAGGCTGTGAGGGGACCCTCCATGCGATCTCAGTGCACCCCCATGCCCCTCTCATGCTGCACCCTCCCCACTATATTGCACTTCACACTCTGAATCCCACTCTCGCCTTCGTTTGAGGGGCCACCTCATCCATGAGCCTTTCCTTGCTTCTTCATCCCCAACACAACCCCCAAGCAATCAGACTCTCCGACAGCGTAATCACTCTCTTTGGGAGCTTCACCCCGTGGCAGTTACCGGCTGTGCTGGTGGGGGACACCAGGGGCAGGACTCACGGCCACTAAGTCCCCCCTCACCCTGCCCGGGGGGCCGAGGGTTGGCTGCTGTAGGCTTTGTACACTTAAGTCTTTTTACAAAATCCCTTTTTAAAAATGAGGTTTCGATTAGGTTTTGGGGGCAAGGTTAATTTGGGTATTCAAGTGACTTTAGCCAGAAAATAGGTTAATATAAAAAAAATATTTACAGAGAAATTTTGTAGACAAGAGGCTAGTTTATGCTGACGTTAACATAAGGCAACACGCTAAATAAATGGATTTTAAATGACAGATCCTTGTCCGGGACGTTCTTTTTTAAGTTCACTTCGATCTTTTCCTTCTGTATTTTGTTAGGACGCTTCTCCTCCTGGAGACAAGACTGCGGATGTCTGATTTCGTGGCTCCAGTCAGGCTGCTGTCTCAGGTCCTGGCAGGCCGGCTTGCCATTTTCCCATCTCTGCCACATAAACCTCCACATTTCCTCCCCAAGTTGTAAGCTCCTAAAGATCCTGCCATGGGGCGGCAGGAGTCGCTGGCCTGGTAACCAGGAGACCTTGATACACACGACCTCCCGTGGAGTTTGGTAATAACCTTCGAAGGGCCAAGGGGGGGCTAAAGTTGTATTTCAGAGGCCCCCCACACCGTTTGTCTCCCCATTATCTTGGGAGAATGTCTGGGGCTAAGCCTGTGGTGGTCAGGGGGCTGAGTCATCCTGTTGTATGGCTTCTCAAGACTTCGGAAGACACTCATAAAAAGAGGGTGAGGTCGTGCCCTGGTGAGCACCTGGCAGAGGCTAACGAGACCGTGCTCCAGCAAAAATTCTCCATTCTCCACCCACAACTCGCAGGACTGAATTGCTCCTGGCCTGGTCAGTCCCATTTGCGGCATGGTCTCATCCTCTGAGGCGATCTCAGTGGCTCTTCTTTGACATATACTTTGTAACAACCATGTTGATTAGCACTTACCTTTTTATGGGTTCATACCTTATCTTTCTAGCATAGGAGAACAAGATGCAAAGATACTGCTTTGTCCACTGTGGGACATGGTTACCGTTCTGTGTATGCTGACCGGTGTGATCGGGAACGTTCTGGGATAAATCATCCGTGAATTAGGTCACAGAATAATTTTTTTCCTGTCTGAGACTGTTTTCTATCACCTCCATCCTTAAATATGCTTGAGAAGTTGATCTTTGAAATTCCTTTATTACCTTTCTACATGGCCTACGTTCATCAAGGTGTGAGATACTCACTCACCCACTTCCCAAGACTGTTTGTGGAAAATGTTGATGAACTTTGGGATTAACAGCGTGCAAACACTCGGATGGGCTGTAAACCATGAGGGAAGGTGTAAGATCCACCAAGAGGCGGTGCCGAGACCCGCTGGTGGGAGCCTGGACCCGTGATCGGGCAGAACCCCGTTCTGGGACTCGCTCCCACCGTTGGCCAACCCTGCACCTGCTGGCGGTCCCCCATACCAGCGACTGGGCAGGAACCCCCCCCCCCGTTCTGGGACTCGTTCCCACTGCCGCCGCCTCCCCTGCCCACCATCAGGGTGCTGGCCTGCCGCGCCCCGGCTTACCTTCACACTTGAGCAGGAAGAAGTCGGCACTGTGGCTGAAGGAGGCGCTGAAGTACGTGCAGTTCTCCACCAGGTCACAGGACAGGCATTGCCTGTTGAAGGTGCCCACCGTGCTGGCGCTGGAGGAGCAGAGACAGCGGGCCATGAGCCGAGGCAGCGGGAACCAGGCCCCGCCGACAAGGTGCAGACCCCCAGCCCGGCTCCAGTGCCCCCCACGCGCTCCAGAGTCCCTGACGCTGCCCCTGCGCCTGCGCGCTGGGCCTCTGCATCATCTTCTGGGAACGCCCCGGAACACTCTGGAACATTCTGCTCTGCGTCCGCTTCCTGCCTGTCGGGCGGCCCAACTCCGAAGAGTTCAGCTCGCAGCACTTCTGCTCTCCGGGGGCGCGCTCTCTGGTGCGCACTGGGTCACCCGCGCGTTCATCAGGCCCATGTGCCCCCACTGTGAGGGGGCACAGTGCTCGGCGCCAGGCCCTTTGGAGAGGAGGAGATGGCTTTCCGGATCTCTGGCTTGTTTCCGAGGGCCTAGTGCTGGCGCACGGCGCGTCAGGAACCCCCGGGAACCCCAGAGACGCGGGCTGAACTGAACTCTGGCCGTTCCCGAGCGGGTTCTCCCGCAGAGTCGCACCGAGAGCTGGTGCTCCTCATTCGGTGGGGCGGGGTGGGAGCAGGATCCCCAGGACCACACTCAGCAAGCACAATTTCACGTCAAGAAGGCCTGAAATGTGTTTCCAAAAATGAAGGTACCGAGGAGTCTTTGCACACACCTGGAGGGAGTTCCTGCCTGAGCATTTTGCAGGGTAAGGGTCAACTCTGACCCCAGGCCCCACCGGAAACCTGTCTACAGGGGCTGATCCTTACTGCCTGACAGAAGAGGGCCTTCTAGCCTATGTGTAAGGTAGACGAGAAGGTAGGCGGTCTGCCTTGATCGTCTTCCGTCCTGTGGGGGACAGGACTGATCTAAGTTATCCTGGCAGACACGCACGGCTACACGGAGAAGTGAGCCTGTGACCCATGGGTTTGCCAGTTTTCCTCCCTCCAAAAGGACTCCCCTGGGCTTTTACACTCTCAGCATATGCACCAGCGGGTGGGAGGGGCCACTGGTCCACCTGATGGGCTTCTCCAGTGTCTCCGCCACGGGAAGGGAAGCCAGGCATAGGCTCCATCCAGACCGTGAGTCACCCTCTCTGGCCCTCAGGTCCACATGGGGTGGCTGGTGTGCATGTAGGCCACCACCCGCTGCTACCTCCTTCTAGTCTGGAAAACGTCGAGGAGGTAAATTTGCCCTGTTTCCACCTCTGGTGACCCCGTCTCAGAGCCCGACACCTGCTTTGGGAAGAACAGTCACTGGGGCGACACTGAAGAGGGACCGACCCTGGGAGAAGTCTCCTTTCCAGGATTCGGATGTCACCCCTCTGCCTTCTCTGAGGTTACGGAACTGACCGGGGTCACAGTGCGTCGGCCACGATGTGGAGTCGATAGAGGCGGCCTGCTCCCCTCCCGGCCTCCGGCAAACACCCTACCAGACCTGCCTCCGACCAAACCCACTGAGAACGAGTGCTCCAAATCATCCTTGAACAACGGTGAGAAGGAAAGACCGTTGGTTATCAACACGAGAAAGTGAGTCGGGGGAACTCGTTTGACAAAAGCAGAAAAAGAAAAGCTTCAAATGCGGTGGTCTCCGCAATTCTTGCTCATGGTCTCTGGACATTACAGGGTTGCCCTGTGGTGGGTTTGCCCGGCGCCTCCCCTAGTGCCCTGCGGCATGGGGCACGCTGTCCAAGCCGAGGACCTCCTAGGTCGGTGCCCACGTACCTGTAGAGCTGTCTCCTCCGCGGCAGGTCTTCTGTGCTCAGGAAGTAGCTGCAAAGACCAGCAGGTGAACAGGGATCAGTGGGCTCCAGGGCAGGCTTGCCTTCCACTGCTAGGCTCGGCCTGCATGCACTTCCCGGGGACTTCTGTCGGTGCATGGGGACAGGCCCAACTCTCCTGCTCAAGCCCAGCCCCGTGTATGTGCAGGCGGGGAGAGCCACGAGCCACACACCCGGGGGAGGGGGCAAGGGGGGCGGGCTGTGCCGGGGGTGAGGATGGTGACGCGTGTCTCTGGACTCAGATGCGGGAATTTCTCTACAAGATTGTTAGCCTCCTGTGGGGCCAGGACCCAGCCAGGTAATCTCGTAAAGCCTGGGGCAATGACGCTGGAGGAGTGGTGTTCATTTGCCACGCGGAGCGCGGGTGGGAGCCTGGACTCTGGTCACAGGATCAGGGAGGAGGAGGGCATCCCGGCCTGGCCTCCGCCATCTGAGCTGAGCCCTAGCTCCCCGGTTACCGTCTGAATAATCGGAATCACCTGGGGTCAGTGACTTAACTTCTCTGTCTCCGCTTGCTTGTTTTTGGACAGGGGAGCCTGTAACGGAGCCCGTGGGACCGCTGTGTGGAACAAGAGTATGCTCCCGGGGCACTCTGCACACTGCCTGGAACTCGCAAACGGCACATGGCAGGCCTGCTGCAGCTGCCACCCGTTTCTCCCCACAGGTCTGGCCGCTCAGCTCCCTCTGCTCAGTGTCTTACAACTTTGGAAGTGGGGCCCTCGAGACACTGGACCCAGGGAGTCCCATGTGACTGAAAGGAAGGGCCCATCTTGCAGTGCTGGCCTGGGCCCTGGGGCTGGAGGCCTGCCCACCCCCGCGGCCAGCCCTACTCACATCTTATTCCGCTTCTCGTCGTAGGCCAGGATCTTGGTCACGTCCCAGTCTCCGGAGGTGATGGACTGTATGTTGTCATTGCTGCTGTTGGGCTGGAGCACCAGACGGGACATGGGGGAACTGGCGAGCCTGACCCACACTTTGTTCCTAACCCAGGAGCCCCACACCACGTGGGGGTGCCATCTGCCCCCCACCTGGATCCAGCCTGTCCACGAAGCCTCCGCTCACCACCCCGGGCCCCAGCCCTCTCCCCTTCTCTGAATGTCAGCAACACAGAGACTGGCAGAGTCCGTGTCTGTGGAACCTGTCACCCGCTACCCCGACGGCCAGTGCCTCCACCCGCGGCACACGTGTTTCACGAGAGACACGAACGCCGCATAGGCTACTGATGCCGTTCTTTACAACGTGTGATCTCGCTACTGAAGTCACTGCCATAGGGAGACTGGGAGGGAGGAAAGAGAGAAATATGGGGACGGGAATGAAACGGCAAGGAAACGGAGGAGAAAGGAAGTGGGGAGGGAGGAAGGAAAGGAGGGAGGGAGGAAGGAGACATGTCTGCCATTCTCTGCCATCATTTGCAAGGATGGCTTGAAACCGTTTTACTGAGTGTTGCACTCTCTCGCCTTGAGTGCCTCACAGAGTAAAATAATTATGACAATAAACTGTAAGGGAGGGATGCATGACCCTCTTGGCAGGAACACTGTGATCTGGAATGGGGTGTGGAGGGGCTGGTGTGAGGCACAGGCCCTCCGTGCTGGATGGCAGGCGCTGGGGAGGCAGCTGGGAATCGGATGCTGAGTGTCAGGTGGGGCCCGTGGGGGTCTTGGGAGCAGGGAGAGCCTGCAGGGAGCAGGGGGGTCTGGATGGCAGTGGGGGCCCTGAGACAGAGGGTAAGGGGAGAGCCCAGCGGGGGGGGAAGGGTAGAGGGCACAGGATCGTCAAAGTCGTAGACCCAAGTCCTTGGGTCCCATAGTCTCCTGTCACAGTGTCAGAAGTGTCATCATTGAGCCATCTTTGAGCCATAATAGGAAGGGCCAATGCGACCCACTGCTCTGAGCAGGAACCCCTGGACTTTGCGAGCCCCATTCTGCCCCACCTTCGGGAACCTACCTTCCAGTTCCCGAACCTGGGGCTCGCCCCGGGGCCCTTGCAGATGACAAGGACGCGCAGAGCGGTCGCCACGAGGGGCTGTCACCAGCACAGCAAAGAGTTTTAGAAATGGTCAGGATTACCTGCGATGATGACACGGTGATGTGATAGAATTTTCCTTGTCCCCCCTGTGGGATGGCTCGGACAAAGAAGAACTTTCGGCCATCCTTGGAGAATACCGGTTCTTCATTCTGTGGATGAAAGCAAAGGATGCAGTCTATAAAAAGGCTTCATTTTGAAGAGGTTGACCGTGACAAAATACATTTTGAGATCCATTTTCTTTGTAATTTCTAATGAGAGATCCGGTGGGAAGAATAAACGGTGGGTGGGGCCTTTCCTCTCCTTGGGACTCACAAGTCAAACCTATCTCCCAGGAGGAGAGGAAGATGGAAGAATCAAGCAGAGACAGAGAAAGACATCCCTTCGTTAGAGAAGCATCCACGGAGTGGACTTGTGTGCGCACAGGCTGACAGGACAGAGCCGGCCGTGGGCGCGGGAAGCTCAGTGAAAGCCCAGTGCAGGGCAGGACTTCTGGGGGGGGCATTTATCATCCATCATGAAGAACGTGGTTCTGAACACTCACAAATCTGATTTTGCCTAAACATGAATTCTACACGTTCAGTCCTGTCTTTTGTTCTTTTATTTCATAAAACCCATCTCACACCGAATAGCCCACCAGGGAGACAAGTAAAAAGAGAAAGAAACAGCAAACAAGGACAAATTTCACACATTCTAAGATGCAGGTGCAGGGACTACTCCTTTCAGGGACCTCTAACACACACAGGCGTGTGCTGGGATCCGCCACCACATTTCCCTGGAAAGAAATCAGCATTCCCAGCTCTCCCTGGGGGAAGGTAGTCTAGGCTGGATTCAAAGCCGAGACCTGCAGCGTGTTGCCCCCATCTCTGCGCGGCCCCCCAACACTGAGCAGTCACAGCTTAGCCCCGCCGGCCCCGGGGTCTGGCCGACGCCTCAATGGGGAAAAGGCATTTGTTACAGCGGCACCTCGGCATCTCTGGAGCTCCAGCTTGAAAGTTTCCATCCGTGAACGCCAATTAGTCGGCTACGATATATATTTTCTGATTCAAGGAGCTCCATGCTAATGCGGGCTGAGAACAAATGGTAAATAAGCCCCAGCTGGTGCCAGGAGCACACATTTCCCTGCAATGAGTGAACGCGTACCCGCAAATGCGACGCACCCAGAGAAATAAACTAACATGTGATTAAAATGACATTTAATCTTCATGAATATTTGCAATAAAATGAAACCTTTAATCTGCAAATATTTATTTTTCTATTTAGAGCTGGCAGTGTGGTATTTAAAAGCAGAGGGAATGGGAAAGCGAGCGGTGACCTTGGCTTTTTAAATGTCCTTCTATTTGCCAACTGCGGGACGGATACTGCAATATTGCCTCAGTTTTCTGGGGGAAATGTTTGCACTTTTGGCAGAGAAAAATACTCTGAATGAAGGTAATAAATAATTAATTCTGGCCAGATGCTTTGCTGTTATACTGAGAAGGCCCTCATCATTTTGATGTCATCTTTACATTGATGAGGGAGGGCTCTGCACCAGCCCTGAGCCTCTCGGAGACCTGGTTTCTTGGGCAGTAAATGTATTCTCCGTGAGAAAGCGCAATGGTTTTTGAGGAGGGGATCCAGATGTTAATCCTGCCTCTGACTCTCCTGGGTTTTGGGAGAAGCGTTCTAGTCTCTCTGCATAACAGGGAGTCTCTCGTGCACCAGGCCTAAGTCTCTCCACGCCACTCGCAGCAGATCAGTGAAGAAGGAGATTCTTTGTGAGTTATTTGTACCATGTTTGCCAATTCTTTCCAGAGAGTGGTTCAGATACACTCACCTTGCCCAATATCCCAGCCTGGATTCTGAAATCACAAAACCAAAATTCTGGTAAAAGAAGAAAGACTGTCAGATGTTGGCCCATAGGCCAACTCTTCAACCAGACGATGGGTTCTGGGACTCTACACCAAATCCCCATGGATCTGCATCAGGATGACATTGCAAGGTCATGGCTGGTGGTGATGGAATATGTGTGTGTGTGTGTCGGGGAGCTGCCTATTCTTCTGGAATATTCCTAGAAGAGAGAGAACTGGGTAGACCTCTACCTGTGGGACACATACATACTCGCCTCCTTTTGTCGGATCATGGGGATCCCCGTGGGGTCCATGCAGCGGCCTCAGGAAGGATAGGGGAGGAAAAGAGAGGGGGTGGAGGCTCAGGTCTGCTCCAGCCCACCCCTGTTCCCCTGGCAGCCAAGGATCAGAAGACCGTTGATCTAAGCAGACTGGGTCTCCCGAGGTCGATGGGACGTCCCACACTCTGTTCTCTCCAAAGGATACCGTGCCCTGCTCAGTGAGCAGACAGCCGTCAGCCTTGAACACATTCTTAACTCACCCTCCAGAACCTCACGGTATCTTGAAGGATTCAGAAAGGCTACAGATTGAAAGGCAGGGTCCATCAATTCCTTTAGGAAACATCTCTTTGAAAGGAATGTCATGAGAAACTGTTGAAACTGGATTTTCCTACTGCCCCTGGAGCTGTGTGTTAGTGACGCCTGAGGCGTGGTACCCACAGAAATCAGGGCCTCCCCATGCTTGCCGGACCAGACCCGGGGACGCACCAGCTTGGAGGAAGCGATTCCTTTATGGGATGTGCCATCTTCCACTCAAAACGGCATGATGTGGTTTCCAATGGCTGTTTTAAAAACGTTAGCTGTTTGCTCAGTAAGTGCCTTAAAGTCTACATTTTAGAAGTGCAATTCTTCATGCTACTTTTTAAGTGCTGACTTGATTTTGCTTGGGAAGATCTGGTTTCCTAAGTCACATCCGGCTGTCTGTCTGGAGCGTGGATGGTGTTCCCAGGTGGCCACCAGACGCCGTGTTGATAAACACAGAAACATCCCAGCGCCGACGGTGTCCTTGCAGCGCTGATGAAGACAGCAAAGCGGCCCAGCCCTGCAGCCTCAGGACCACGAGGACCAGGCAGGATGGCGGGAGGACAGGGAAGCCGCCGAGCACCGAGCAGCACCCCCACTCCCAGAGAATAACACACTGCTGGGCTGCAGCGAGGAGCCCCTCCCTCGCCCCCTCCTATGCAGATACAGAAGCTGCCCCTACTCCGGGGGGTCCCAGCGCTGCCCCCCGGGTCACACTCCGTCTCCCTGCTCCAGCCCCACTGACCGCTAACACTTGAGCACATTTCCTACATATCTTAGGATTACTTTCGTTCACCACACGTTGGACTCATGTGCGCCTCTCATCTCCCTTTCTACCCCGTGACTCTTTGAGAACTGCTCTAGGGGATTCATTTTTTTAAAAAAAGGTATTTTTTGTGTGAAATTCACACAAAACAAAACATTTTAATAAAAGTGAGTAATTTAGTGGCGCCTAGTACATTCACGAGGTCGTGCAACCAGCACCTCTCTGGTTCCAGCACATTTCCATCCCCTGGGATAGAACCCCAGGCCCTTGAAGCTGGTCACCCCTGTGCCCCTCTCCAGCCCCGGCAGCCAGCAACAGCTCTGTCTGTGAACTCACTTATTCCTGACATTTCATGTTCACGGGATCACACAATGGGGGCCCTTTTGTCCGGCTCCTGTCCCTCCACGAATATTCTTAGCTGCACTGCTCAAGATGGCCAAACAGCAGAGACAACCCAAGTGCCCATCAACAGATAAACCAACTGTGGTCTATCCATACAACAGAGCGTCGTCGAGCCGAGAAAAGGAAGGACATTCTCGAACTTGCTAGCCAGGGGCTCAGGAGAAGAGCCTGGTGCTGGTGCAGTGCCTGGTATGATCCGTAAGCACTGGTTGATCAGACGACCAGACAGATAATGCATTCTCTTCTGATTCTTTCCAGTCAACCCCCTGACGTTCTGTCTGATGCACATGTATTTGATTTCTGTGCTCACGTCATGAGTCCAGGGGGCCTTTGGGAACTTCCCAGCTCCCACCACAGGGTTCTCAAGCCCTTGCCTGTTCTTGGTGTCTTCTCGGCTTGGACTTGGCACCCAGACTTACATGCAAGGAACAGAAGTGGGCACTTGGGCTAGTCCTGTTTCAGGTAAGACCAGCGAGGAGGAGTCTGAAAAGCAGCCGTGCCCACTTACGAGGCCGCCCCCCAGATATAGTGAAGGGACGCAGGGACCGGCCGCCATTCCACATGGAGGAGGTGTCACCAGCGGTCCCTGACCCTGGTGGATCACGTCAGTGAAGATGGACGCCTGTGCCTGCTCCACCACGATTCCTGACCCTCCCCACCAATCCTCAGGCAGTTTTCATCCCAGGAGGCTGGACAGCAAGGAAGGAGGCTTCTCAAACGTTCTCCCCTGTTCTTTGCTGGGATGTGCAGTGAGAGAGAGTGATGAGGACAGAAAACACCAGTGCTGAGAGCTTTGCTATATTGGGGCAGTTTGACTTGTTTTGTTGGGGCAGAGGGCGTCCCTGTCAGCCTCACCCGACCTCCTCGAATCTCAAGCCCCCAGAGCCTGGCTAACGTGCATTTCTGACCCGTGTCGGGACGGGACACCCAGGGGGGCTCTGAGGCCAGCCCCCCCGGAGGGCTCAGGCCACATGGCCGCGGAGTCGGCCTCGCACGGGACACCCCGAGAGCACGCGGAGAGAAATGGACTGCAAGCACTTTCCTTCCCTCCAGCCGCGGTAGAGCAGACTGGACAACTTCACTAGACTCGTCACAATTCTTCAAAAGGCCAGCCCTCTAACTGAGCCCTGAGATCTCCCCAGGGGAGATCTCACGACTATCTCCCGTGGCTCTGTGCTTCTCCGGTGGTGCTCGAGGCCACAGGGAGCAAGGGCAAGATGAGCTGAGCCGCCCCCGCCGCCCCCCCCCCCCCCCCGGCGCAGGAAGCTGCGGAGCCCTGTGGGGCTGTGACAACCTGGGAAGCCAGCGCGCTGGCGCGGGCGGAGAGCATGGGAACTCAGGCGTGGGGTAGTTACCTGTCTGTGGAGCCAGGCTTCGCTCTCATCCTCATGTTTCTGAAATGAAATACGAGCATTAGAGAAAGGATTGCCTTTGCATGTTTCGTGTCTGTGAGCAGCAGTGCTTGATTCCCCTCCATGGTGGCCGCGCAAGCAGACGGGGCTGTGGCCCGGGCAGGCAGCGACCTGGCTCTCCGCCGTGTCCCCACTGCGGCACACAGCCCCGCACACATATCCCTGAACCAGGCAAACGCCACTCGCCCCAGCAACAGGGACGTATCCATGGCGGGCAGGAGTCCCTTGGAAGACGGTGCACGCCTACCCCTGGGGCCCTCCCTGTCCACACAGGGGCCCACTTAAAAGCAAATCTCAGGTGCCACACTGTTGCAGGGATTTGCGTGTGTGCGTGTGTGCACGCGTGTGGACATATCAGTTTGCAGCTCTGAATAACAATCCCAGTAGCCCAAAGCATTAAAAGGACTGAAAATGTAAATGAAAAGTCAATCTCTCAGGACTGTGTGGCAAGATGCACAATGGAAGACAAAACGAAACAAAAAACACCAGCATGGACGGCTATGCAATAGGGGGGCGCTGCTCCCGGTGCTGGTCTGGCCTCCAGCTGCTGGGGGTGCGGGGAGTGGGGGTTCTTCTGTCCGTGGACCAGAGGCAGAAAGGGGCTGCATTGCTGACACGCACAGCTCGGGGCACAGAAGAGACAAGGTGTAGATAACTAGCAATTCCCAGCTTCCTGGCTGTGTGTCTACTCCTTCCCTTCTTCCCTTCCATAAGCCCATCAGCATAACCCGGAATCTGCTCTCAATCATATCGAGAAACAAGGTACATCCCTGAATCACTGGAGGACAGCAGATCACTGAGCTCACCTCGATGCTGTGCTTGATGTGGCCAGAGCAGCTTCAAGGCCTCCCAAGCCACAGCAAAGCTGCTCCGCAGACTTGGGAAATAAAAACGTATGGTCCTAAAAGGAGTTTCTGCAAGACCTGACTGGATTGATTAATGGAGTTTAATTGATTTTTTTTTTTTAACCTAGCACTAGGAGGTCGGCCTCTTGGGGCTCGACCTGGAGTGCGGAGATCCTGAGCCCACAGGGTGGAGGGTGTGCCTGCTGCAGGCTGGGGGGCAATGGTGGGGCCGTTCCCTTGCTCTGCCCAGTGGCCAGGCCTTGTTTGGATTTCCATTCTTTCTCGCTCCCTGTGCATATTTTTCATTTTGTCTTCACCACGTTCATTTGCCTTCTCTAACTTCACATTAAGTCAGCCCAAGGTCCCTAGGAACATTGCTGGCCTCAGCAGTGCTCTTAGAGGCAGATGCCGGCCCACCCAGGCGTTGACCCACCCAGGCGCTGACCCATCCCAGGAGTGCACGGGCTCGGGTGGGCTGGAGGACAGAGCCAACCAAAGGGGGAAGCCAGGCAGCCGTGCTGGCTCCACCTAGGTCCCGGGGCCTCAGGCCACCCCTTCCCCTCCCTGATGTCCACTGGAAAATGAGGGGAATGCTCATCGTGAGACAGCAGTGGGCACAGGTAAAGGGGAGTAACACATCCATAGACTGCCGAGTGCGAGCAGGTCCCAGGACGGGACTCCTTGGGGCGCTGAGTGGCTCAGCCGTGAGTTTTGCAGCAGTACACAATTCACCCACAAGGTGGCAGCAAAGCAGAGGCCCGCGGGCAGGTTCCCACCGCGGTCTGGGCTCAGTGACCAGCGCCCAAGCCCAACCCGCCCCTCCCCCATTGCCGCCTCGCTGCTTCCGGCCATCGGTCCCTGACCCCTCCCCGTACCTTTGTGCAGACCCCAGTGGTGGCGTCGCAGAGGGTGAGGATGGACACGTTCTGCGCCCGGCTCAGCCAGTTGACGGCCACCTTGGTGCTGGTGGCCCACTTCACCATGGTGATGTAGTACTCCCTGAAAACACGCAAACACACGGAATTATTGCTCTTGTCCGCGGAAGCCAGCAGCCGGGCACATCCCACGCTGGGGCGTGTCAGGGATGGACGCGCCCGCGAGGCTCTGCAGTGGGGTTTCCCGACCATGTGTGTTGATACTGAACTCTGCGGGGAAACTAAGTCACTAGGCGCGGAAGTGTGGTTCTGTCTGGGCTGCTCCCCGCGTATACAGTGCGCTCGGCCCAACCACCAGCTGCCCGTCCGCCGGAGAGGGTGACCGTGCCTTGGTGCTGCCCTGTGGGTTTTATAAGTCACGCTGCAGCCCAGGCTGACCTACTGGCTTGATTTTCTTGCCACAGTCCGGGGCAAACGCACACGTCCAGCTCCCTAGAGGCAGCAAGGAGGTCCCAGAGGGGCTGGCAGAGCGAGAACCGGGAGGGGCTTGGGGAGAGAGGCTCTCACAGAATGTGAGATGCTGGAAAAACACACGGGCACGCCGAGGAAGGCTCTGTGCTCCCTTTCCCTCTGCTGTGAAGGCAGAACACCCAGGGACATTCACCAGCTAATTAGGGAAATTGGTTCATGGCTCCGGGCATCAGGCAGATTTCGTTTGATACTGTACATGTCACACACCTGCTTTCACCCAAACCTGCAAATACCAGTGTTCTAGACTACCCTGTACTTACCATGGGGGGTACTGGGGCTTCCAGTAAGTAATTCAACCACCCAGAGCCCTTCTAACACAGGATTTTTAGGGAAAAAAAAAATAGATATATACACCTTTAAGAGGAAGAAGAAAATACCAAAAATACAACGGTACAGAAAGATTATCCCTGGGTGAATTCCAAGAATGTTCTAGAGGCCAGCTAACCCTGTTCCGTCACCTACCCCATCTATATCTATAATGAGATCTATCGTTCAGAATGATTACTTTGTGGTCTTACAAGATCCTTTATCACTAAAGACGGCAGCACATTCTCTAGACAATGCCTAGCAAGCTGGAAAGGCACGTGAGTAGGCCCAATGATTACTTTTCAACAGAAAGGCCTAAATCACCAGGTGCTTTCAACTAAGCTTGGGTTAAGTAGGAGAGGAGATTAAATTGCTGTGTTCTCTATTTCTCGAATCCACCTGTTAATCAAAACTTTAAATAACCTAAGAGCTGACTCAGGCTGTCACCTCCCGCGTGGGGGGTGGGGAGGCCCTGGCTGCCCATCCAAGTCTTGGCCCATCTACTGGGGACTTGGCTGGTGAGAATGTCATTCAGGCAGAATCCAACTTTTATGATTTACAACCTCCTCAATTGCTGTGATTTTTGAAATAGGGCTGGATCTGCTCATACCATCTGCTCAGCAAGCCCCCAGGCCTCGGGGACCTGGGTCTGTGTGTATACAGGATCTGCCTTCTCACACAACACCGTCAGGCTCCTGCTCTGAAAAGGAGCGTGGCCTTTCAGCAAGTCCTCTGCGGATGCTGCCCTGCCTGAGGGCTTGGAGCCCATTTCTTTGATCGGCTCCCTGAATATTTGTAGGCACAAAAACATTTAGCTTGGCCCTTCAGAATAACTCAGGGTCTGGGCCCAGCCCTTGCTTCATGCATAATACTTCTTATTTTTAAAATTACAACATAAACGATCCTTGGGTCCCTGCTCGGTAGATGCTAGAGACTGCTAGCTGGAGGGGCCATCGGGATGGATGCGAGCAAACTCCTGTCTTCCTTGACCGTGGGGCCGTCGGATGCAGACATTCATATTGAGGGTGTGGTGTGGGAAGTCATAGTGTGAGCAAACATATTTCATCTGGATGAAACCAAGGAGGAAAAAGTCAGATCTCGTAGAAGGACTAGTTTTTTCCCGCCCCCCCCCCCCACGGCCTTCACACTGGTTAGGGAGGACCCCTTTCTTGGAAACATTCATGAGTCCTATGTGTCTTTCTAGGTTTTATGGTGTTGTTTTGCACAATCTTCATATCGACCAAATAGAAGTCTTTCTTTTACTTTCCTAATTTGTGATCTGAGGCATGCTGTAGAAAAGAAGAAATAATTGCACGACAGATCAGGACAGTTAAACCTGGACCCACTTTGTTTAGTTGTGTGGACATTGGCAGGGCCCCTGATGAAGGACAGGTGCAGTGCCCACCAGGGGTGGGTGCCCGCGGGCTTTGCTTCTACACCTTACTTCACGTGCAACTTGAATCCTCAGTTCCTCATCTGCGTAATATGAATTTCAAACAAACTGATGGCACCCTTAGAGATTTTATGGTGATGAAATATAATGAACTCTTGAAACAATAAAAATTATTATGGACTCCATAAAGATGACATAATATATCTCTGTATAAGTAGGTGGCACTGCCTCACTGTTGGGCGGTTACTGGGCCTCCAATCATGTTGCCAATGGTCAAAACACTGGTCTCTTTCAGGACCTCATACCGATCTCATTACTCGTATGGCAATATCTCGTCTCAAACCAACATTTCCTCATCCCGTGAACTGCATCAATGACTGGGCTTCATGCCAAATAAGTTCCGGCTATTTAAAAAATCAAGTCGAATCGCAAAGATAAAGCACGGTCAGGGATGGGCGATTTAAAAGGAGCGATGATCTCCAGAGCCTCACAGAGAAGTGACACTCTGGAAAGAAGGACACTCTTTCACTACGTAAGATTTGTAGTGACACCATACGTTTGCGGAAAGGAAAATACAACCTTCCTCCATTTCTGAAACCTTCCTTAAGAAGAATCCAGGAGTAGATAAGAAAGTTCTCTTGGTTCCTTACATACTTTCCATTTTCTCTAATTTCAAAGCTGTTGGTTACATGCGGGCTACGGGGCTGGGGGCAAGGACCGAGGCCAAGTCTGTCAGGCTATTCCTGGTGGTTTAGGGGGAAGGTCTGTTTGATTGTCCTGTTTTGGTGTGGACTGCATGGACACATGGGGATTTCCAGCACACAGTAGCATCCGGTTGGCAAATCTGAGGTAGCCTTTACCAACTTTGTGTCAATTTCCCTCTAAACCACAAAAAAAAAGATACAAAATCACAATACCCCTAAAAGTGAGTGTTGACAATCTCCAGCAACCATAACACAGCTGGAGAAGCATGAAACCACAAAACGGGCTGCCCACCCCATGCTTCACTCTATGAGGCAAGCAGCAGCCAGGCAGGAGAATATGATTCTCCTCCCCGGGGACTCATTCTTCCTCAGAAACCCTGACCTTGCACCATCCAGAAATTTGGGAAGTCAAACCTTTGCTACCTTAGTGTTACAGAGGATCATGATTTTTCATAGACGCCTATTGACTTAGAATGTCAAAAATAAAAAAATTCTAAAGAAGACGGAATAAAACGCTCAACTCTGCCCAGCGGAGGCACACCAGATGGATAGAGGTTAGACTCTGTCTTCCGATTCCATCTGAGAAGGTTCAAGCAGCACCCAAAGTTCGGAGTCAAAAATAACCCTCCCGTGGCGCCTGCTACCAGGTGTCAGGCATGGGTGGATGTCTCCTTCCTGGGGTGGAGAACGACAAAGGTCGTCATACAACACAGATGGAGGGAAGGGGGAATTACGCTGACAACATAAAAGCAGAACATATTGGGATGCCTGGTGGCTCAGTCGTTAAGCATCTGCCTTCGGCTCAGGTCATGATCCCAGGGTCCTGGGATTGAGCCCCGCATCAGGCTCTCTGCTCGGCGGGAAGCCTGCTTCTCCCTCTCCCACTCCCCCTGCTTGTGTTCCTGCTCTCGCTGTCTCTCTCTCTGTCAAATAAATAAATAAATAAAATCTTTGAAGAAAAAAAAAGCAGAACATAACCCTAAGAATATAAGATGAGATGAAGAGGGGAGATGAAAGACTCTAGGGAAACCAGTTCCGAAGGTGAGAGAAATTGGACTCAGAGAAACTGAGGAAAATTTGGGAAGCTCTCCCAGAAGGCAGAGGGAGGCGAAAGGAAGGAACGGGGACTGTCCTCCTGTCTGAGGCCGTCAGAGCTTCCTGCAGAGAAACCAGAGTGATGGGGAGAGGAACCATCTCCCAAATTCAGAGACGAGACGGCGACGTGTGCACAACAGCATCTGAACGTGCAGGTGAGAAGGGTTTTCCATATTCCAGGGAAGTTAATAAAAATGCCTAAATATGTTCTGATAGAATCTTTGAGTTCTAAGGAAAGAGAAATCTCACTATAAACTAGTAATAAGGAAATATGTTTTGACAAATGATCAAAATTTAGGCAGATATCAAATTTCTCTACTGTTCTAGGTTGAGGGGGTATTTAACATTCTGGTGTTTTTAATAAGCGTATCTTCTACTTGAATATACCCTATACTGAAAACAACTCAAAAGGCTCAAAATTAAATGCTAGGCATGTAAGAAGATAATCCCTAAAATAAATCATCCATAGCTAGTCCAAAACCACTATCAATTTATTACAAATTTGAAGTAAATATCAGAAGTGATTAAGTGACAAAAACATTGTGACATAAAAGAAATATTGGGTGAATATCTCATAGAATTATAAATATTTAGCAAGTTTTCAAAGCACATTAAAAACAAAAGGTAGCATAATATTCCATTGTATATATGGACCACATCTTCTTTATCCATTCATCTGTCGATGGACATCTTGGCTCTTTCCACAGTTTGGCTATTGTGGACATTGCTGCTATAAACATCGGGGTGCACGTACCCCTTCGGATCCCTACATTTGTATCCTTGGGGTAAATACCCAGTAGTGCAATTGCTGGGTCATATGGTAGCTCTATTTTCAACTTTTTGAGGAACCTCCATACTGTTTTCCAGAGTGGCTGTACCAGCTTGCATTCCCACCAACAGTGTAGGAGGGTTCCCCTTTCTCCACATCCCCGCCAACATCTGTTGTTTCCCGACTTGTTAATTCTAGCCATTCTGACTGGTGTGAGGTGGTATCTCATTGAGGTTTTGATTTGGATTTCCCTGATGCCGAGCGATGTTGAGCACTTTATACAATGGAATATTATGCAGCCATCAAAAGGAATGAGATCTTGCCAT